TCCTACTGTGTCACCAGGGACCAGTGACTCTCAGGTCTGACTGTAGGACACATTTCAAGCGTTTGATTTTATATCTACAATAACAATATATAAATATAATGAACTCTTTGTGTGTGTGTGTGTGTGTGTGTGTGTGTTTGTGTAGACTGTCCAAAGTGACTCTCCAGAAGCTGGTTGAATGTGTCTATGAAGCTCAGGAAGAGGAACTGACTATATGCTTCCTGCAGAAAGTGGGCGGGGATCTGACTTCATGTTCGTTCAGCTGGGAAGAGCTCCATTATTTCCTGCAGCACAGAATTCAGCAAATCACTGTGGACTTCAGAAAGAGCAACATTCAATGCAGAATCAGTGAAATTCTTCCATTCCTGAACAGGATTCAGTTTAAACGGTAAACAATTATTTATTTCACAAAATGTGTATCTAGTAATTTAAACGGTAGACAATTATAAAAACATAGTATGATAAATAGTATGATAAAAAATGTACAATGATTTAATAATGAAAATACGTCTGTACAGGATGAGCTCTGCCTTCATGCTGTGTGCAATCAGAGAGATTTATGAGTCCGGCTCTGCTAGGTTTGTGTCCAGTCTGTTGAGTTCAGTGAAGAACTACATTAACCTGCAGGGCAGAGATCTGGACTCTGTTCACTGTACGGCCCTGTGCTTCACACTGCAGCACTGCACTGCAGCTTCACTCAACCTGCTCTGGACCTCCATACCAGAGGAAGAGCTGCAGAGCATTCTGCCTCTCTTCACACACCTCTCCCACCTCAGGTCTCACTGCTTTTCTCTCTAGCTCTATTATTCTGTTTCTCTGTCTCAGGTCTGTCTGTGTGTTTCATTCAGTAGCTTTCTGGGTGACGTCTACTACAAGCCTTGAAGTAGCATTGAATTATGTTTTGTAGCATTGAATTAACTAATTAAAGGCATATTGTTTTATTAGTAGTATTTTAATAATAATTTTAATATTGTTATTTAATATGTATTTGAGGTCAGTTATTGGTTTGCATTTATGGGAGCTCTGAAAACACAGTCATTTAAAAGTCTATGTAAACAGCTCTTCAGTTAATTGAAATGATCATAATCACAGGCAAACAATAAAAGCAAAAGAAATGTTTTCAAACATTTCTATCTTAAAAGTACTGAAAAATGTAATTATGAAGGAAACCGTTATCACATCTAGAATCATTAAGAGCCTTCAGAATAATAGAATTCCTTAAAGGGGTCATATGATGTTGCTAAAAAGAACATTATTTTGTGTATTTGGTGTAATGAAATATGTTTATGCGGTTTAAGGTTAAAAAACACATTATTTTCCCACATACTGTACATTATTGTTTCTCCTCTATGCCCCGCCTTTCTGAAACGCGTCAATTTTTACAAAGCTCATCGGTCTGAAAAAGCGAGGTGAGCTGTGATTGGCCAGCTATCCAATGCGTTGTGATTGGCCGAATACCTCAAGCGTGAGACGGAAATGTTACGCCCCTACCATACTGTATTTCCGTATGTCCCGGCGCGACGAGACAAAAACATTAAAACCCATTACAAACGAGGCATTTGTTGCATCCAGTAGGGACATAATTACTGATTATAATGACTTATACTGTCATTTTACGCGTTGCGTTGCATATCGC